TGTGAATCAAGGTGGGTGATGGATGTTCACCTGGATGGATGGTCAGCGGAGTCATCATCATTTCTACCCATCCAGGTGAACATCCATCACCCACCTTGATTCACATCTTCACAATTGTCCTGTCCTTCGTCACTGATGTCGCTGCATTTCTTACCTAATGGTAAGTTCAGGTATTGTTACTCATTAGAGCTTGTACTCATTATACTCACCTACTCATCCATTTATTCCTGATCACACGCTGACACTCCAGATACCCAATCAGAAGTGCTGGCACCTCACCACACAGCACCACCTTCCCAAAATCCTCGGTCCCAAGACGCAACAAACTCAGATTTGAGTATAACATTCACAATTCCCAACACCCCAGCACCATTCCACGTCAGGTTGTTGGCGCTTCTCCACCCCTCCTCTTTTGGTTACCTGTAATACATGATGTAGACTGCCCATATCAATAGGACCAAGCTCCATGTTTTCCTAAGTATCCTCTGGAATCTTTTGTAAATACCTGTCGATTCTGCCAGTATAACCACTGAATAGGCATTTACATAGATAGGGTGAAATTACTGCAGCTTTGTCACCTTGCTGCTGCTGTAGCTGCTTAGATGTTAGCATCACGTATAGCTCTATCAATGAACAGACACACCTAGCTCCGTCCACTACTGTATCTGCAGGAGTTTAGGGAAATTATTATTAACTCTTGCAGTGGGACTACCCCTGCACTGCAAGGTTTAAGTGCTCCTTTTTGTCTAGGTGCTAAAAATGGTAAAATTACCAGACCATCCATTGAGGATTGTGTCTACTTGTGTCTACAGATTGAATGGTCCTCAGCGTCCTCACATCTATAAACAGTCTATTCACAGTGTATAGAGTGTGATGAAACCAGGATCCTTAGACCGTTGCAGCAGAGGGGGAGAGATGCTTGAGACACCGATCTACGTACAAGCCAGCTCGGATGGTCTGGTGAATATAACTTTTTTTTTTTTAGCACCTAGACATAAACAATCACTTAACCCGTGAAGTGCAGGGGTACCCCACTGCAAAGGTTAATATATTTTTTCCTGGAGTTCTTCTTTAAAGCTCTGCTCAGTCCCCAAATACAATCCCACCTTTCTCATGGATTGTCTAAAAGGGTGCACAAGAAATTCAGCTTACTGAATACAGGTATTATTGAAAACATGTAAATTACTTAGCAGATTGCATAGAAAATTCCAGTTTTTCACTCTGAGAGAGAAAACTAGAGTCTTAAGATGGACTTTAAGCTGTTCCTACAAGGAATTATTATTTAACAAATGTAATAATTTTAGGGGTAAACTGATGGACCTTGGCCTAGGCATGGATGACATATGGTCACTGGTCAAAGGACACCAGCTTGAATATTCATTACGTGAGAAAAAATCCTAATGCCTAAAGGACAGCATCTTTGAATCTACCGGTATGTATTCATCTTGTTTTTTTTTTTTTTTATATGATTGAATGATAATTGCATGATTCTAATAAAAGTTAAAGATTTCCTTTCTTGGTCAACTAGTTTTATAGTTTTAGTGCTCTTTATTTTTTTATGTTGTTCTCTACCTTTGAGTCACAAAACAGCTCAGTATATGTTATTAGACAGAAAAATATATTAAAATTTGCTGTAAACTTTGATGTTAAGGAAGAATTTAGAATATCATTGCAGGATCAAAGAAATGACAAGTATTCCTGTGTGAAAACGCCAAGAAAAGAAGCCTTGCCTGCAGTTACCAATAGTTCCGAAGACCTTTACTGAACATGGCAATTAACTTCATCAAATCCACATCAAGAAAAAAATCCCCAACAATGATTTTGTGTGCAGTTGCACACATCCTCAAGGCAAAAGTGGAACAAATTCCTCTCACACATATACGTCATTAAAAATAAGGTCAGTTATTTATACCTCACCTGCAGATAGGATGGTATAGATAAGATAGGTCCCTTTTTTGCTTAAAGCAACATATACAAGAAACTGTTAAAACAGAACTGAAAATAAATATAAAAAGGGCTAGTAGGCACAATTTCTTAAAAAGAGGCTCTCTATGTCTTTTGCTGCCAACAAAACATTTTTTTCCCTTTTTACTAAAAAATGTTAATGAACACTGCCTGCTGCAAATGCTGCAAGTATATGCTCTCAATGTGCATAAGATACTGGAGAGTGCAGTCTAGTGTTGGGATGCTGGCCACCCTTTGGCCAAAAAAGAAAGACACTAGCAGTGGAAGAAGCTTCAGCGAAGATGGAACTGGGGCTTGTGGGGCTGAGCTGCTAGTTCGGTGAACACACGTTCAGAGCATTTGGCGGGCTATTCGTCTTCCTAGCTCCCCGGAAGGCACTGTGCCTTGTAAGCTCTGATTGGCTAAAGTCTTGCACCTGACCGGTCAGGTGCAAGGCTTTAGCCAATCAGGGCACAGAGAACTGTGAGAGCCATGATTGGGCAAGGTCATGATGACTTTGCCCAATCATGGCTCACCTGTTACAACTGTAAACAGTTGGGCGGAGCTAGCTGTCACTGCTAGTTCCGCCCAATTGTTTATATGTTGCCGGCATCTGTCAAAATGCCATTATGCGGCGGGTGTTCGTTGCAGCAATATTTGCAATATTTGTTGTATTATTTTTGATTTCGTCAAGTCGTCATTGCCGTGGACAACGCTGGACATCGTGATTGATGTTGGATTACGTCGGTGGATCAATTTTAAAAAAAAAATTTAAAACTTGTTTTTGCTTTTTTTTTTTTAAATAAAGGATTTTTTCAAAAGTCTGGTGTTTTTATTTACAATTTGATTTGACCCTTTAGTGAATGGGTTGGGGTACCCCTTACTCATTCAGAAGGGGGGGCTGCATCTGGGTAAATAAGATGTGAATAAGCCCCCTGCCCGCACCCCCACAACCAACGCCAGGGGTGACCCTGGAAAAGCACCCTCCCAGTGCTGAGGGCATGTGGCCTGGTATCGCAGGGAGGGGGGCCCGCTTGTCCCCCTTTCCTGCCCTGCCAGGCCTGTGCTCGGATCAAGGGTCTGGTATGGAATTTTAGGGGGGACCTAAAAGGGCCTAGTATGACTATAAGGGGGAACCCCACACACTTTTTTTTGTTTTTTTTTTACATGGGGTCACTCCTAAAATTCCTACCAGACCTTAAGGGTCTGGTATGACTTTTGGGGGGAACCCCATGTTTTGTTTTTAAATGGGGTCCCTCTTAACATTTCTACCAGACCTAAAGGGTCTGGTATTGTTTGGGAGGGGGAACCGTGCACTTTTCTAAAAATTGTGTTTTTATAAAGTTTTTTTTCATTGATACATGTCCCCCAGGGCAGTACCCAAATCCCCATTTTTATGGCCATTAACTTGCATATGAGCCTTCAAAATGGGGTCAATTGATTTTCATAGTTCTACCCCCATAGACTTTCATTCAGTTCGAGTTCAGATTCTAACTTTTCCCCTGTTCTAAAGTTCGAAATCAAACTGCAGAGGGGGGTGCTTGGCTCCTCACTACTAAGTCAATGAAAGCCTTTTGACTTTCAACTTCCATTGACTTTCGTTGCATTGCGTTTTTTGTTTTATTTGTCAATCTTCATTTTAATTTATATGTCTTGAGTGGACAAACTTCTATGTATTTTTTTTTACTTGCGTTGCATTGCGTTTACATGCCTTTTTGCCACATTGCATTACATTGTGCGGAAAAATGTAGAGTAGAGCAAAAAACTCAGAGAGAGCATCTGCTGAGGATAGACGGATGTTAATTATTAGCACTTCTGTGTCCCCTCTGGATATGGAATGAGGATCACCTGTCTACAGATACCTTGAGACCTCACTTGAAAAATAATTTGTGGTTGATTTATTAAAGAAGTAGTGAATGTTCACTGTTTAGTGAATAAAGCCAAACTGTGTTCATTGGAATACCCAAACATGTGCATATGAAATTTAAAAAAAACCCACAACAACAAGATTTCTCTTTGGATATGATTGGATAACTGCAGGGAGCACACCTTAACTTTATTCAGTAAGCTTAGTGAACATTGGGGTTGATAGGTGTACATTTATGATTTTTTTTAAATCAACCTCAGTAATTCTGTGTTTTTCCCAGTGTTAGGCAATATAACCAAACAAAAGGGAATGCTTGAAGCAGAACTAAGGGGAAATCAAATCTTAAGCCTTCAGTGGGGCTCTCCCCACACTGCAAGGGTTGAGTGTTCGATCTGCCTAGTGAGCTAAAATTACAGTTATACTCACTCAGACCACAATCCCAACTGGCTCCTACACCGCTCCATGCAGCCTCGCCTCCCCTCCGCTCCAGCCATCCTCATGCTCTATACACAGTGTATGGAACGTGATGACTCCCAGGACCATAGTTTGCCGGAGTGGAGGGGGAGCGAGGCTGAAGGCACTGGTCTAAGAGCAAGCCGGGAAAGTGGTTGGCATGAGTATAACTTTGTTACTTTAGCTCCCTAAGTAGAACGGGCACTTAACCCTTGCAGTGCAGGGGTAGTCCCACTGAAGGGTTAAGATTTGATTTGCCCGGAGTTCTGTTTTAAACTTATGGGCTAGATCAGAACTGGATTATCAAAGTGCTCTTTCTAAAAAGAAATCATCTATTTCTAAGATATAGCAGGTTGGCTTTGTGGAGACATTTAGACTGACAGAAACAGAAGGTACATTTCTAGGGATTGCTGGAAAAAGGGATTGTTTATCTCATGGAACTGCATGTAACACTATGGTAGGATTTAAACTTCTCTAGCGATTCTGGAATATATGGGGGCTGCTGATTTCTGTATGTAATTGATGAAACAGAAAAAAAATAGATTAAAAGCAGCTTCTGCAATATAAGATCATACATAGGTTAGTTAACCTGGAGAATAATCCTGTCTGACATTCAGAGATTTCATATATAGACCCTTGTGTCCGGTACATGATCCTTATCAGTCACTGGCACATGAAATGAGAGACCGGCAAATATCTTGCATGTTTTAACAAAAGGATTATATTGCACATTTACCTGTAAGAAACCAGAGGGATCATTTTCCTTGATTACTTCAAGGCAGTATTCCATCAGCCCAGTCGACTGGCGAAGTTTGAGTGTACAATGATTTATCTGGTCCCAGACAACCTAGAAATAAACCACACATATAAGATAATCCCCTTTACATTGGATTAGTATATTGTACCGGTGGGACTAATGCAAGATGAAAGCTCACAAGCGCATGTTGACAGCAGTCACGCACGGGTCTTTTGGTGGTTCTACTTCGCATCCCGTGTATAACACAGCAGTAGGGATGCACAGATACTTTTTGAGTACCAGTGCAGATACTTGGCATTTTCATGAGAACTACCAGGGTTGCAGCGGTTGCAGCTGGGACCTGGCTCTGGCACTCCACCACTGTCCTGAAATCATTAGTCTGTATTGTTTTAGAAAAACTGTCACATGACAATAAACAAAAATGTATCAGTACTCATACTTGTAAGTACTCGGCAAGTACCAGTACTCGTACTCGCAAAACTGGTATCTGTGCATCCCTTTATTTATATTTATAAAAACAAAATCGTACATTAAAACAGATGTACAAATCCCAGGAGCTCCGTGTGCTCATTACACATGACAGCTGCCTCCTAATTTTTGAATTTTTCTCTAGTGTAGTCTTGGAGCTCAAAAGTATCGGTACATGTACTCATACTTGTACCGAGTACTGTACTTGGTATCTGTGCAACCCTACATAGCAGACAAAGGTAGAATGTACTAAAAGGTATAAATGTTGATGAAAGTCTTCAAATCCTCTGGTAATCCATGAAAATACTCCCAAGGAAATACATACTTTGCTATTAAGCATTGCTGGAAATATTTTCAGCAGCTGCTGCATCTAAAATTTCATGTTACTACTCTAAGGCTCTTATTCACAAATTAGTTTTACAACAGAAAACAGAATACCTCAAGGCGTGCGCTAAATTAAAGCAAACCCCCAGCCAGATATTCTCTTGTAGTTATTGGATGCAGCAGAGAAGGGTTAGAGGCTCTATCAGGTTTGTATTGCCATCTGTGACCATTAGGAAGACTTCCACTTATTTCCTGTCCGGACAGTAAGTGGGGGGAAACCTCCATGACAGGGACATAGACAAAAATACATTTTTAGGAAGTAGGAAGGGTTAGAGTAATTTAAGTAAAACAATTACCTTGGTACTTAACTGCTACTTATAACATGTTTTACCAGAGAAAGAGGCCAGAAATCATTTCTTGATGTACCAGCCAGAAAATTGACTTACAGAAGTGTAGCTTCTCTAAACTTTCTGTTAATTTTCAGTTACAATTCTTACACCAATGAGAGTCAGGGGCCACATGTGGCGCAAAAAAAGGCCAGTTAGACGTGGGGTCACAGCTTTTTAAATAAAGTCACAGATGAAAACATAAACCTGATCCCTGACATCAAATTGATCATTACGACCGACAGCCGCAGTTATTTAAACCTCCTGCATACACTTCTAAAGGTGCCCATACACTTTACAACCCTCGCAAGACTTCTGTCTTGCAAGGGTTGTAAAGTACTTAAAAAACGTAGGATCTGCCCATCTTGGACAGGCAGATCGTACCTGCGATCATAGCAAGCCGATGACTGCAATGCTGAATGGGCTGTGTGCGCGTGCGCACACCGGCCCGTTCGCCAGTGATCTCTCGATCATGTTAAAAACCAGCCGAAAATCGTACGATTCTTGGCTGGTTTTCCAACATGCTCGATATACAAAAGACGTGCGACCGTACATTAGAAATGGTCGCACGCCTTCCATACACTGCACGATTCTCGTACGATCACGGGTTTCCCGCAATTCTCGTACGAGAATCGTGCAGTGTATGGGCACCTTAAGAAAGATACCATGCTGTGTTACCACTGCTTTTATGTGAGTAATTTTCTTTTAATAAATCATACTTTGTTTGGATGGTACGCGCTATGGTGTTTGCTTTCTCCTTTTGGACACGATCCTGGTATTGACATCCTATACTGAGGAGGCCTACAGATCAATAAGAGTGGAGGTTATTGTTTCCCTACTAAAGAATTGATATACAGATCTGTCTGCTGGTCTGATTATATTATTGGAGGACATCTGTGAGCGATTGGAGCTGAGGGCCCCCTCCCCTGGTTAAGAAGGGAATTGCCCAATTTGACCTTTTGTTGGGGTCTATCAATAATGTGAACACCCTTATATCTGGTGGGGTGCAGGTGGCACATTTGGTGAAGGAACAAGAAATATTCATCACTATTGCTGTTTTTATATGGACATATCTTCAGAGTTATGAACATTTACAGACTTCACATCTGATTTATATATTATTTATTCACTGATATTTGTTTATGAGTCAGATTCTTTTATTGTTTTTTTGTATTGCTCATTGTTGTAGCGCGGCACATTCATTTATTCATTTTCTTCACGTATACACACTCACATTGGGTGTATATTCCAGTGCCTTGTAGCTGTTAGCTTGCTTATTGGCGTAGTTCATTTATATATATATATATATTTTACTGACAAAAAATTATGTTTTCCCCCACTGTTTCCAAAGCTAAAATAAGAGAATTTGGGCTGGAGTTGGCCTTTCATGCTACTTGGTCTGAATGAGCTTACACTCAAAATTGTTTATTTCAGTATATCTAAAATGTTTTTTTTTAATTACATTTAAAAAAAAAAATTATTTTGCATATTGTAGAGTATGATTAAAATCCTGGTCAGGTTTTTTTTGGGAAGCTGTGTCCCACTGGGGAGCTTTCCCTTTTTCCTTTCCTATAGACAGGACATGAGAGAAAATCCCTCCAGAGTAAGGTAAAGGTAAAAAAGGAGTAATGGTGACCAGGAGTAAATTTCTCTAACAGGAACATGGACAACAACCAAAACCTTAAAGAGTTTCCAACCCAGGGGTGTGCAACTCCGGCCCTCCAGCTGTTGTGGATCTACAAGTCCCATGAGGCACTGCAAGACTGACAGTTACAGACATGACTCCCAGAGGCAGAGGTATGTTGGGATTTGTAGATAAAGCACAGCTGGAGGGTCGGAGTTGCCCAACCTTGTTCTAACCCCCTACTACGCTATTCAAAAACTAAAAAGGACATTTTGACTTTAGATACAGTTTAAATTGTTATTATTTTATGCCAAAAAGTGTATTCTATTTAAGTGGCACCAACTCCTCCCACCCACAAAAAAGAGGCTGGATTGACACTATCGCGGCGCGGCAGTGCGGCTTACACATCCTTTGCAGAAGACGTGGATCCAAACCTCTGTCATTGTCCTTAGTGGTGAGACAAGTTGTTTTACATGCTAGTTTGTGAGTGTGCCATGATGCCTTTCTACTGTGGATTGACACTATCACCGCAACACTAGCTAGGTATAAACTGACAGAGCTGCTCAAATACATTTCTGGAGATCTGGTCATCTCTGACTGAACACACTGGCTTGGACATGTCGGTGAAATTAAACTGTGGCCCTGGAAATACCTATCTGTTTTCCTATTTAACTCTTATTGAACCTGGAACAATGTAACACAACAGAATACAATGTTATGGGAAACTACACTTACCATCAAGCACTGGGAATTGTAGTGAATGCGTAATGTGGACGGGATTGGGGGTGGGATGTAAATATATTGTGAAGAGGGGCGCTTAAACTAAGCTTAGTGCTCATTTGCAAAGCCTGGCAATGGCAGGCATATAGGGTCATGGCAGATCAGGAGACTCCCAGCCTGTCAGTCAAAGTGTGAGGTCATCAGGGGTGGGACAGACCAGGATTCTCCATTATGGTGGCTGGGGACGTTATTACTTCACTGCTCGCTCCAAAAAGAACTACAGAGGGAAAGTTACAAGACTCATGGCCAGGAGAAAAGAGGGCAAAGCAGCCACAGGTCTTATGAAAACTGATCTGAATCCATCGATGCCACAGTAAAGGAAACTTGTAGTGAGGAAGTATGGAGGTTTGTATTGCTGACGTTTCCTTTAACAAATGCTAGTAGCTTGGCTATTATAGTGCTCCAATGGTGTTACGCACAGTGCATCTGCATATATGTGTACATCTGACGAATTGGTATTGGTATTTTTCTTTAGTGCTATTTCTGAATGGTGGTGACTGATAGCAACCAATCAGAATCCATCTTGTACTGGTCTGGGTAATAGGAGTCTCTGCACTTTAGAATTAGCATTTGGAGTGCTACGTTTTTGACGTTTTGGATAGCATAAGGATAGATTGCAACACCTGCCAAATTTTAATTGCTGTCTGTGCCCACTGCCCGGGTAGGTAGAGTCATCCTCTCTGTTTGTCCTTATGACCACTGTCACTCAGACAGTAAGTGAAGGAAAATCCAACATTTTAGAGTTATCACTAGAACAAAATTTTTCAGCTAAATCTTCAAATAGGGGCATCTGTTAACTCACTAAGAAGTGAATTCTCCTCACTTTCGAAATATTTTCTCTTACTTCCTGTTATGTCTCTGGAACAGGAAGTGAAGAGAAACATCCAAAGGAGTTTAAAGGACGCTTAAGAGAATTAGGTACTGATACTAGTAGTATTTAACATTTTAAACATTTTCGTAAAACTGTAGCTGAACCAAATTGTGTTTTATAATATTTGCCCAGAGTTAAGCTTTAAATATGGTTTTATTTATATGACTTAAATAATTATCATTACTACTACTTTTTATTACATTATCAAATCATTATCCCAATGACTGTGATGTTGCAGCTCACCTTGAATTTATGTTCTCGTTCTTTTGTGACTTTGGTAAGCAATTTCGCTTTCTGGCGGTTTAATGCATCAACCAGAGCATCACATTGGGCAACCAAGCATGCTTCATATTCCAGACCATTTTCCTAAAAGGAAGTCAATCATGCAAAAGGTGTTAGCTAAATTGTTGCACAGAGAAGAAAATCCCCAAAAAATGTAATTCAAACAATGATTTATTATGTATTAAAAGTACATATAGTCAAGAAATAAATCCATAATTCTGCCCCTTAGCAAAACACAGGTACAGCCTGATCTTAAATATGTAGTTCAGTTGTGGTCACCAATCCACAGAGAGGATGTCCTTACAGGGGCGTCTCGAGGCAGGGTGTCACCCAGAGCGGGTACCGGGTGACAACCCACAGTGATGCCATTGTGCATGCACAACATCATCATGTCATGCGCTGTTACCTGCCTGCGGCCATCTTGGTGATGGATGCCAGTAGAGAGAGGAGGGGACATTCACCCGGCGGGATAAGGTATGCCCCCAGGTCCCCTCCTCTCTCAAGCAACTGTCGGGCTCTCGGTCCATGACCGAGTGCCCGACTTTTTAAAGGAGGTGACCCCTCCAATGGTGTCACCCGGGTGCGGGCCGCACCCCCCTGCACCTCACTAGTGACGCCACTGTGTCCTTGAACTAGAAGGAAGGACAGTCAGAGAAGGGCAACAAAATTATTAAGGGAGCTGGAGGACCTCGGTTATGAGGAATGATTACAAAGATTACACTTATTCACTCCAGAGAAGAGTCTCTTAAAGAAGTATTGGCAGGGTAAAATGTACTCTTCCCAATAGTCAGAGCCGGCGTGGGACACTGCAGCTGTCACTTGCTGATCCAGTGCTGGTTCAGTGATCATGTTATCATGATTGCTCAGCTCATGGTCTTCTCCATGCAGAGAGCAGTTGCTGTCACTCACCACTCCCTGCAGGGAATCCCCCCTCCCCTCTCCGTTCCTTCAGTGCTCATTGGAGGGACAGACAGGGTTGGGGGTGGGCACAGCTGAATCTGGCTCTAGAGAGGCAGAGCCAGCTGTCAATCAGCTGTCAAGCCAATATTGTCGGGATCCTTCCCGGCTGTAGTGTGGCTCTGTGCTGTCAGCATATAGCGGGTAGTATCCTACTATATCTTGATTTTGGGTCACATCATGTATGCGTCCGAGGCTGTATACCATCTTTGTTCAGCAGTGATAACTCCGGGCTGTGGGAAGCAGCGTGTGAGGGTGCACTGCACAACTCCTGTGTCTCCATAGAGCTACATGAGCTGCATCCTGTAGCTTTGGGGGCATCAGAAAATGGCCTTCCACTCTGTATGGGGCAAACACTCCCCATGAGTCCTTATTCATTTATGTAAAACCCTTATCCCAAAAGGAGAAAAAAGTTTTTCTGTAACTGCTTAAAAATCGTTGGCTGGAGTTTGTTAGTCAAGTCCATCTAACTCTTCTAGTCCATCTGACACTACCCACAGGGTGACAAGGTTGCTATCCAACGGTGGCTCCATTGCTCCTCTATAGAGTGGGGCCACACTAAAACAGGAAGTGTGTTACTGGCAAAATCACCAGGTGAAAATAAAGGAAACAAAATAAAACAAAGAAACAAAAAATATTTGGTTCTAGATGCACTTTAACGACCGGTTATATGTTGGCCAAGAACTGCCCTGCCAGATGTAAAGCCGGATTCCATTAGAGGCAGATGTACCAGATTGACAACATTCTGGAAAATGATACCTGGACTTGTTGAAGTATATTCTTTAGCTGAACCAAGAATTCTTTGGCTTCTTTTGCTTTATCAGAAACTCCACTTAAAGCCTGGGAAAGCTGAGCCTGTGTAGGAAGATAAAATATAACAGATGTTAATATAATTTCCATATACAAGTATTAAGGCAATTGCTTTACGTTACATGTAAGCCTCTAAGCTACAAATGTAACTCAACACATTCATCTGCTCCACAGGACTAATCATTTCCTGTCTTTCAAACTCACACAAACAAAACTTTTTTTTTTGTATAAACAGTCCTATTACTATCATAATCAGTGGGAACAGGTGTGCTCCGTCACACGACGGAGCAGTAGCTGTGCCTGCCGCCCCCTTTCCAGTCAGAACCAGAGCCAGAGGTACCATGCACCACCAGCACCCATCACCACCCCTTCCCAGTAACATGCACCAATGCCCCCCTGGTAATGTGCACCACCAGCACATTTTACCCCCAACGGGCAAAAAGTGTAGCAACACCCCTAAATGGGAAAACACTTAAAGCCCAACTCTAACCAAAACTATTTAACTCCAGAGACAACTGGGAAGGATTAAAGCCTCTGTCAGATTATCACAGCCTTCTCTGACCCTACCGGGAAGATTTACACATCTGCCAGAACAGGAAGTCATAGTAAATCTCTCCAACAGGGAAGCAGATTAAAGGGTATCTATGCATAAATCTAAAAATAGTTCTATAGTGTATCGATATTGACTTTCCATAAGTTATATGCAAATCCTAATAACCATATTGATCTAAAAGTTTGTAAACGTACTTATTGAAGATGCCCATAGGATGTACTTCTTCAATGCACTGACACAATTTCACTCCGCCCTGTGAATATGAACTTCTTTCTGCCACAACTCTCCCAGAACCTGCCTTCTAAACTACAGTTCAACCTTCAAACAATGTAATATTATTAGTAATATTATTATTGTTTCCTGGAAGCAATGCATTACCCGTCATAGGACAGGTTATCTTTTGTTGTCCACCATGCACACACATCCTCAATGCCAAGTGCTTACTTTGTGTCTGAATGAAAGCTAATACTGTCACATTAGCACTATGCAGGGAACACTGTAATACCACCAATGATACATATGCTGCAATCTCCCCCAGTATCAAAGTTGCACAGGTCTAACACAACACACAGCCTAAAACCTTTTTTTTTCACAGATACCGAGAATCCTCACAGCAACTCAGGTTTCAAACTGGCTGCAACCCACTTTCAGCATTCAACAACTTACTCATTTTTTCCAATGCAATTAAAAAATAACCATAAAAATAAATCCTAGTCTGTGTGGCTCTAACTGAATATTAAGTCAGAAATGTTCTGAAACAGAAAATAGACACTGTGTCCGCATCTACAGAATATGTTGACCTTACTTGCAAACGCTGCTGCCCTAAATACTCTCTCTATTGACCCAGGTGCTCAGGTGTGAAGTGGTAGTTTCCTACACTATAAGGACTCATTCACACAGGTGTATTAAAATACTCCCACCTACATTGGATCTCTCTGCCAGAGGCTGGTAGAAAAACACAGTGGAAAAAAATGCATGTTTGGTATGTATGCACATTTATGGGAGTTTACACATACACAGTGTTTAGAGGCGTATGCGCATAAACGGGTTATATTGGCTAGGATATTTATTTATTCTAGCCACTAAAATGAATTTACGTGCATGCATAAAAAACCGCCACAGTTGACCTTGATTAGACAATGTTCTTTGTAGAAACCACTAAATGCCAGGCTTCCCCACTAACAACATTATACAGGTGGCCCTCGGTTTACAACGGCTCAATTTGCACTGATTCAAAATAGCACCCTTTTCTGTGAGTGTTGCAAATTAATACCAAATATATAATGTATGTCAATTAGAAGTGAGGGAGTTAGGTTCCAGGCCTCTCTCAAAACAAGGAATGGTTCTAAAAGAAACTGGTGTCAACTTAAACCCAGTAAATGTAAGTCAGTGGAAAGTGAGGAAGTTAGGTTCCAAGCCACTCTCATTGACAAAATCGACATAAGTAACATAATACGGGTACATTTTATTTAAAGCTCCTTGTGTAAGCTCATGCAACTTGTGTCAATTTTGAGAAAGATCTGGAACATAACTCCTTCGCTTCCCACTGACTTACATTATATATTGGCATTCAATTTAAATTGAGGGCTACCTGTATTCATCTTGCCAGCCACATGCTAAGGAAACTGGAAGGTTCTAAGGTCAGCTAAAGGAAGCCATAGTGCGACTACATCTAAACTGTGCCTTTATATCAGGACATGTGCCTGATGTAGAGAAGAACATGTCAACATGACCTTCAAATATAGTAAGTGAAACTTGTGGGGGCGTCCTTCCTGTTGGACATAATGAAGAGAAATGATTTTGCTGAGGTTATTTTTTGTGTTTTGGTACATTATACTGTGGTAAATTTTTATTTTTTTTATTTTCTTATTTGTGGTTGTAGTGCTGCTGGAGTATACCACAGCATACTGTTTAGTAAATTTACGTTACACTGTTACAATGTGTGAATGTGCATGGCCGGTGGCATAAATAATAATATGAAGATGCTATTCGGTTGTCGGCAGACAGTCAATACTCTGTACACACATAAGCATTAGTACCCGTGTACACCACATATCATACTAAACCTACACACTTTGTGGTAATTGGTATCTGTGAGTACTTGATCAAAAGTATCGGTACTCGTACACGGTCTTAAAAAAGTGGTATCAGTGCATCCCTAATGTGTGCTATGCTTGTATTGTCTTTGTTTTCTGTCCCTTTTGAAGGCAAAGTCTTCTTTAAGAACAAAATAATCAATATACACTTCTTCATCAAATAAAAATAATGTGTAGTTATTATTTTTTTGCATGAGAGCCAGCAAAGCATTACAACCACAATCAGTAGTTGGCGGGTGCAATGCTCTGGCTCCTGCAAACTCTTCCTCCCACCCAAGTGCGCATCAGGAGCAAGAATGAATGGACTACAAGTGAGGTGACATCACCGCACTTGTATTCCATTAAGAACTGCCATTCTGCCATTGTAATTTCTTAATTCAAAGATCCTGTCAAAGGATCTCTGAATAAATCACGTGGCTGTGTGGGTGGAGTCACACACAGCCGTGCCAAATAAAAAAATTTGCACAAGCTCGCAGGGAGAAGAACCCTGCGATTTGGGTAAGTGGTGGGGCAAGAGGGCGGTTTGCGATATGACAATGTTTCATGTTATAACCTGAATATAGATGTAACATGAAACACGGTCAGAAAAGTTAACTTAGCCTTTATTTGTCCACCCATTATAGTCTGTCCATAGCTCCTTGCCATTATCTCCCTTTCCATTCTGTGTAGGGTACCGTCATAATCAGTCGCAAAATGTTAACAGATTTTTTTTTATTCATGAGGCACAGAAACTTGTATACAAATCTAAATTAACAGATGTACGTGTGACTAAGGAGGAGGTTGCTGAAATGATCAAAGTGAACAATGAAAGGGTAGAATGGTCTCTAATTAGTACATGTGTTCCTGCAAACTGTGTTATTAAGCTGTGACCTTTAGTTTAGAGATACAATGTGTACAGATCATTTACAGGTATGCTACCGGTTTGATAATGTCACAAAGTGCAGATGGCACAGAAATGGGGTTAGGAGTCCTATGTCACTGTTTTTAAGATCATTATTTAATGACTAAAGGAAACAGGTTATATATCACACATTGTTGTAACTGTCACATGACGGTAAAGATCCATACAATATCATTTAGGCCTCATTCACACTGGGCTAACTTGGGGTGCGCACGCCCGTATCGATCTGTTCCCAGGAGGGACAGGTGCTAAGTGTAGCAGCCTGTTCTTCCCTATGGGAGGACACAGCCATACACTGTAGATTCATCCTGTCTGCGTCCAGGTACAGACACCCGGACCCGCACGAATGTGCAGCTTGGGTGTGCGTACGGCCGCGTCCTTCTATAGGGAAGAACAGGCTGCTGCACGCAGAACCTGTCCCTTCTGAGAACAGCCCGACACGGGGGCCTGCATGCCGCACGGACATGTACGCCCCGAGTTAGCCCAGTGTGAATGAGGCCTAAAATTCATCAACACTGTATAATGTCAAAGCCTTTCTAAACAAACCATTCAATTTATATTCAATCAGACATACCCTTGCACTACATAGTTGTTGGTAGATCTAAAGAATGTTGTACAATCAGCATGCATGTTCTCCTCAAAAGGTGGTTGCAAAATACAAAATGTACACAACATTCATGTATTCCACATCCAGCATACTGGGAAAGGCCATAATTCAAAAACATATTATACTCTGAGACTGCCATGATTTCATGCGCCAGATTCATACATTTTATGACCCATTCACATCTATGTGTTTTAACACATGTCAACACATGTGACATTGCTTTAAATGGTGCCAGTTCACATCTGTGCTATGCAGTGTTTTGTATTGCCTTTTTTTTACTCATCAACGCACGTTATAAGGCCAACTGATGAGTAGTAAATAAAAATGCATGACTGTTCTTAAAACATGTAAAAATACATGAAAAAATACACAGGTGTAAATGCAACCTTAAAGTCATACTAACAGTGTGTCTGTTCTAGAATAAGGAGGGGATATAAGGGAAGGTGGGGATATAACTATAATGTAAAAGAAGTGTTTTAGTGGACAGTGTTTGCAGGAAAGGACTGCAGGGGGTATGAGGCGAGGCAGTATGTGCACAAGAGAAGTGCTGGAGGGTAGTGCATTGGGCTGAATGTGCAGCAGAGGACTGCAGAGGCAGTTCGTGCAGAAGAGATTTGTGGAAGACATGATGGTGGACAGTATTTACAGGAGGGGAATTCTGGATGGTATAATAGTGGAAAGTATGTGCAGAAAAGCACTGCAGAGGTTATGACAGCAAACAGTAAGTGCAAGAGAGAAGTACAAAGGGAACGGCAACATTTGTGGATAATGACTATGTTCTTACAAATGTGTTAAAGAATACAAAACTTTGCATTCTTCCACAGGTTCCACAGGTTCCACAGGTTGCTGAACAGAGGGTAAAAGAAGGTTGTTGGGAGGGATGAGCAA